GTTTCGCTAGCGTAGATTGCAGTGGGTAGGACAATACTGTTGTATAGTCGGAGCTTGGTGTACCTTAAGGCAACCCTTAAAACTTCAAACACTTATGAATCAAAAACAAAACATGATAAATGCAAACGGTTTGCGAATCGTAATACGGCTATTACCTTTCAAACGATACCAAATTAGACTTTCATGTACGTCCTGTTGCCCTAACCCTAACACTACCTTAAAGCAACCCTTAAAACATGTTGGAAAGCGGCTTTGGGACCGTACATGTTTCGAAAAGTACTCCCTTATTCCATAGATTCAGGTCTACTAACATATGAAAAAATACTAGCCCTAACCCTAGGTGAGCTATCCCTTAGCCTTGTGACAGGTGCCGATACCGGGCTGACTTGCAGTCGGTATGAGTTTGTGGTGAACCGCCGAAGGATTGTTTTCAGATTTCAAAGCATCTTTTATGCTTTCATCAGAACAAAAACAGTTAGTGTGACTTGTGAGTTGTGTTTCCGTAGTGATCTACGGTTTGTACGGCGATCTCTGAAGCGACGAAGTTCACCGCCTGACACTTACCGTAGTCTCCTGGGCTTATAGCAAACCTTTGAAAGGCCGTGACTTTTTGGACGAAGCGTGGTGTTAACTTATAAATCCAAAACCAAATATAATAAATGCAAACGGTTTGCGGACCTTACTACTGGGGCCATTACCTTTCGAACGATACCGAACTTGACTTTCTGGTACGTCCGGTTGCCCTAACCCTAACCCTACCTTAAGGCGGCCCTTCAAACTTCAAACACTTATAAATCCAAAACCAAACATGATAAATGCAAACGGTTTGCGGACCTTACTACTGGGGCCATTACCTTTCAAACGTTACCAAACTTGACTTTCTGGTACGTCCGGTTGCCCTAACCCTAACCCTACCTTAAGGCGGCCCTTCAAACTTCAAACACTTATAAATCCAAAACCAAACATGATAAATGCAAACGGTTTGCGGACCTTACTACTGGGGCCATTACCTTTTGAACGATACCAAACTTGACTTTCTGGTATGTCCAGTTATTGTTGTCTTCGCTGTATTTCTTTGTAATTGACCTGTGGTGTGCCGTAGGCCCGTAGCAGCTTTTATTTTGAGGTAAATTCATATTTCAGGAACACCCCTATTTCTATAATCCTGTGGAATAGGCCGTAGCTTAGTAGCTGTGTTGTAGGCGAGGCTGTGTTGTAGGCGAGGTTTTGTAAGCAGATATTAGGTGGTTGTTATAATCGTTTGCGAGTTTCTGTTTGGATTGTGACTTCAGTGACTGTTAGTGTGACTGGTTTGTTCCTACTACGATACCTTATCGACTAAATAATATGTAGTAAATGAAAGATATTATTATGAAAGACGACTCTATGTAGATTGTAGTGTCGTTGATCATATGTATTTGCAAAATATAAAACTTCACCCTATGGACACTGTTTAATAGCTGTTTGAAATCGCTATTTCCAATGAGGTTAGCCGCCTTACTTTTTCTCTTCCTAAATAGTTCAACGATTTTCATTGATGTCGAAGATCTAATTTGTTAAGTACTGGCTTTCTACGAACAACGTAAGTATGAATCTGCAACTTTTAGCAACGGTTTTATATGCCCCGTGTTCTTGATAGCAAGCGCATCGCGATGTTTGCGTCTTCCCCTGGGACCCGCTCATACATATGTAACTTGTTAACCATTTGGCGCGATCAGGATTATTTGGCCAGTCGCTCATGTCAGACGACATGCCTGAGAAAGACTCCGTTATAGTTCACCACTCCACAACCGGGAAGTTATTGGAAAGGCCGGTGGACATTCTGACGCACGAAGAAACAGGACGGTGGGGAATCAGCCTCGTAGAACTTAGGGCAGATTCTAGAGTACAACCTAGTCAATGTGAGATCATCATATCTTTGTACACAACAGGAGAGGGAGGGCACTTCTACTGTCCATTTCCACGCTGCACAGCCAGATCGACAGCACGCTACAAAATTGCTGAACATTTGCGGAGGACGCACACCGGACCCCATTTCTGTCCTGTCTGTGGAGTACTTTACGCGAAATTGACGGGATTGAAACAACACATGACAAGAAAAGGGCACAGCTCTAACGAAGACGCTTCGGTCGTCCAGATATGGCGGGAAAAAGCTGTAAAAGATTTCCTTATGTCGACCTGCGATGTTTTCGGAGCTGAAATGTAGACACATTTTATTTTCGCAATCCTCATGTAGAAGGTTCTACAAGCGACAGAACAGTGAGCAAGAGCAAGAGCAAGACAAATTTCCTTCTTCCGTCGTGGCCAGTCGTGTTTCCTGTCGTATTTTCCGGAACCGTAAGTACTAGTATTTTTTTTATCGAATCCCGCAAATGTACCATGACATTGACATGTATCTGTATCACAAGCAAAACCAACAGAAGAATTTCTGAAGTATAAGATATAGGAAAGGGCACTGCAAGCTAAATTATCGCCGTTGAGAGCAAAACTTCCAGAAAATTTGGTCGTAATTTGTCCGCCCCTCTCCCATGCCCATTGTGTCTTTCTATTAGCCTCTACCAGGCTTGAGGAGGCGGCTGGAAAAGTAGAAATCGGCCAAAATAGAGAGATAAGCATGCCAGGGGAGTTTGGCCGTTGAGTGAACAGTTCGGAGTGGGCGGCGAACTGTTCTCTCAACGGCCAAACTCCCCTGGCATGCTTATCTCTCTATTTTGGCCGATTTCTACTTTTTCCAGCCGCCTCCTCAAGCCTGGTAGAGGCTATCCTTCTATGGTAAACAACATTTGGCTGTAGGTCATCTGCCACTAATTAACACATACGCGCTAAACGGAGAGGATCGTGTCCCCATTCATAGAAGGAAGCTCCCTACGGCGCCTTTCATTAGATTTTCTTGAGTATCACACAGAGTTCACATGCTTCCCAAAGTTCCAAAGATTAAAATGAATTGTTCCAAAAAAAAGAGAAAGTCTCAACGCAGCAGCTTGTGTGATCCCGCGCTTCCCAAGTACCGCCTGTTGGGCACGACAAGATTTGGCGCGAAAATGGCACTTGGGGACAACATGTGCTCGAGTGCTCTAGTAGTCCTGAATTTCTGTCGCAGGGACTCATGGCACTACTAAGTCTGCATAACCAAGTATTTAACCTCCTTGGCATAACTGATAAAGAGTAGCAAAAGTCCTGCATAAAATTTGACGAGAAAGAAAATGACGTCAGCGCAACTTTGCCGGGTTTTCTATGCCCGAAACCCGAGACGCAAACAGCTCGAGTCTGTACGCTTCGGTCCTGGTCGGCGGTCCTCGGGGGAGATCGGAGCATGTGACGTCAGGCTGCTGATCAAAGACGCGCCGTTCTACTCTCCAAGCAGAGGTAGGGTCGCTCGGTACTAGTATTTTGGCAGTATTTTCGCGTTTTTAATACGTCTTTCTACTTTTCCTGGTTTTTTTTTTTTGGTCTTCCTCCCGTAAGGGATTATTAAAAACGCGTATTAAAAACGCGAAAATAATGCCAAAATACCGAGCGACCCTACATCTGCTTGGAGAGTAGCGCCGTTCCGGTTTGTAAATAATGGATCGCAGCTCGCGGCCACAAGGGAAAAAACAACAGAGCGAGGACATGTACACAAGGGGCATACCTATAGGAAGCTAAAAGTCTTTTTAACCTCTTTGATAGAGCATCCTAGCTTGCGGTCGCGCAAATCATTCAGAAATGTCCCCACTTTTTATTTGTTGTTGAAATGACATTTGCCTCATGGCTGTGGCTGTCTTGTTTCGCGTTTCACCGAGATGTGTTCACAGAACCGTCCGTGCGGGCAGACAGATATGCCCCACGGATCAGTTTGACAACAGGATTTATGGGCGGGAGGAGAAACATGTGGGTGTGATGTACTACTGTAAGCGTTTCTCTGCATCACTCTAGTATGTGATGCCATGTACTAGTATGTAATTTCGTAGCGTGTAGTTACGCGTTAGTTCTTTTATATTTTTTCACGTTGCGATCCGAATAATCCAATTTTCCATGTCATACTCCTGCGGCTGTTTTTAGGGAATGAACGTTCTAAAACGTGCTTGGAGAACCTTTGACCCGTGGCAGGGTTCATCAAATCCCGTCCCCAAATCTATCAACAGCCAGTTGTTGCTAATCTCCAAGCAGATCCTTATCGGTGGCAAAAAGATCGAAAGCAAATTGGCCAGGCAGTATCCATTAGCCAGAGCAGGTCCGCGGCCACCGACGGGATTAGCAAAAAAAAACGGCCATATATAAAAAGGTAACGATCTTTCCCCACAACCTCTGCTTGGAGAGTAAGTTATTGCAGTTTTCAAGCGGCTGGTGTTCATAAAACTAGTTTCGAGGTCCATAATTTAATCAGGCCGTCTTTCTGTGACATGTAGGTGCGAAGTCTGTTTTTAGAGGCGCTGTGTCCGTAAAAGCAGGCGGGGGGGGGGGGTCTCGTTATCTTAAGCTTCACTAAACTTCACACTCTCAGTCTGTACTGCTTATATCCGGCCTTAAAAATGTGTTGATAACGGATTGAATCGTGTTTGGGGAAACCGTGTGCGCACTACAGGGGGCAAACTCTATATATAGCGTAAACAATCGTTAGTTGCAGGCCGGAGTCCAGGTTGGCAGGTCCCAAGTACTCTCCAAGCAGAGGTTTGGCGTGTTGTTAGGCTTTTTTTAATCTGTTTTTTTTTTTTTTGTAGTGGAATCTTTTTTTCACGCAAACAATTTGAAAAAAAAAGAAACAAGATAATGTTGCAAATCTCTCACTGGAAGCCTTAAATGTCTCATTTTTGTCTCAATTTTGGCCAAATGTCTCACTTCCTTGAACGGAGTGCTAGTAAGTAGTTATGGAATGTGTGGTGTTTCGGGTTGCATTTCATGTTCCGCTGTATTGAGGTGAGGTGTATTGAAAACAAGAAAAACCTAGAATGTTGTGAATTAACGTTGAACCCGGCAAATGTTTCAGCACATTTCTAGTATAGTTACGTAAATGACAATGACCGTAAGCCACTGCGAGTCAATTTTCTACAAGTCCTACTTACTTATTTCGCATTTTTACCCACCGGCGGATGAATCAGCCTTCCAAAAATTCCAGCGCAAATCCTCGAGCAATACCGGTACCGGTAGTCATCATGATTGAATATTGCGACGTGCACGTTTTGCTGTTGCTTTTTTAAGCAAGTAAAAGTGATAGGTTGACCTATAACAATTAGTTGTTAAAACAGTGTATAACTATACCAAGTTGTCCGAAATCACGTTACCAAAAGTTACTTTCGACGCTAGCGGGGTAGCGTGGCAGGTGTCTGAAGTTGTCCGAAGTTACATGAAGTCACTAAAGTTGTCTGTAAAAACTGACTTGTAATAGTGAATGATAAAATAAATTCAAAAGTGCTAAATATTATCGGGCCGTTAGTCGTGTTCCTTCGGCAGCCAAGAGACCTTCGCCCGCCTATCTAAATCAGCGCCACGGAGGAGTTGAGTCTAGGAGAATTTGTCCGACCCTAGAACTAGTTCTCAACTCAAGTCTAGGAGAATTTGTCAGACGCTAGAACTAGTTCTCAACTCAACTCCTCCGTGGCGGTAATGGACCTTCTTTGGCCGGCTATCTTCTCTGGCCAATTAATACCCTTTTAGGCCGATTTCTACGATTTATTCACCCCGCAAAAGAAGCCTGGTGGAGACTAAGGCGACTCGCCTCTCACCAACTGTCAACAACTGTCTGACTCTGTCCTTTCCATTATCCCACGGCTTGCTTTTCATGCAGACGGAGACGGCAAGTGCAAGGCTATGTCTAGACAAAGACACCAAGGGGTTGTCTTTCCAGGTTGTTGTCACAAAGTGATTAGCTTTGATGTTTACGCATTTCAAAGGTCTTCAAAGTCAACAATCCTTTTGTAATACATTTTCACACATCCATGGTAGGAGTCCTGGATTTAACATCCATGAATATGCATGATATCTGTCAGCTAATTACAGGGCGGAACGGATGATGAAAAGCAGAACAAGGTTAAGACGAATTTTCCCATTCTTACAGTAGCACAAACTTGACAGGTTCTTTGTTGGCTGAAGAAAGTTTTTACAGACTAATGGCCTGGAACGTCGATGTTTTGGATTTTTGCACTGGATTTTTTTTCACCCAACCCCCCAAAAATTCCAGTGCAAAAGAGAAACCCCGATAAAAAAAGCCTAAAAACACGCTAAAAATAACCCCAAACCCAAACTTCTGCTTGGAGAGTAGTCTATTGACGCATCCATGAGAGGTTGGTCTGGACGTGACAAGTTACTCGCGGTGGTCCTTTGAAATTGACAATTATTTACGACCTCGGGGACAACATAAGGCCTGAGACGCGGTACCGTTCAGTCATTTCCCGTTTGAACGGAGCCGGCGCGGCGTCCCTCCTTCACGGTCGATCTGATCATACTTCTATCTCGCGACATTGTGTTTTCTTTCTTCATCGAAGTACTCTCTAATTCAAGGTAAGTTAACTTGTCTGTTTTTATATACTAGTATCAATATTCCGGAAGCCAGATCCACAGCATAGTACTAGGCCCAAACATCAGTGTTCACACTGGATAACTTTTGAGTGTAGTGGAGTGTGCTGTGGGTCTGGCACCCAGGCTAGATATTTTGATAATTTTCCGATTTGTACCGTGAATGTAGCCTGGGTACCATCCTGATTTTCGCTACGCAACGCTCGAAAAAATCATGATTTTTTCGACTGCTTCCCTCAGTACTCTCCAAGCGGAGGTTTGTGTTTTGGGTGTATTGTTGGCGTTTTTAGACTTTTTTATCGGGGTTTCTGTTCTGCACTGGGTTTGTTTTACCTAGTTGGGGCATGGAGTTACAACTCTATGGTTGGGGTTAGGTAAAAAAATCCAGTGTGAAGAAAACAAAATGTAAAAATGCCGAAAAACACGCCAAAAATAAACCCAAATCTCTGCTTGAAGAGTATCCCATATTCCCTACTTGAGACCACGGGTTAAGGATTCGTTGAACTTTTATTCTCTGGCACCCTGAGTAGCTTTTGACAGGGCGTCTGTCCAGTTTAGAGCGTTCTTATGAAATTATGTATTCGGGCCAAAAAAAAAAAAAACGAAAAAAGTCAAGAGGGGAGCTTGCGAGACATCTACGCCCTTTTTTTCACAAGCATCACCTTGAGACCTTATCCCCTGTCCAAAAATAACGTTGCTATGGGAATTTTCAGTTCAAAATTTATCCGTAAACAAGCTTCCTCTAGTTTGACCATGGAGGTAAAATATCTGATTTTCTACCTCCATGGTTTGACAAAGTGCGTTTCCTTGTTTTAACCGATTGGTAAGCTGTAATTTTTACATGTAGAAATTGTCTAATAAACCTCAGTCAATGTTGTCACAAGTGTGGTGTACGTGGAATTTTCGTTTGATTTTCTTTTTATTGTCTACAGAGGCTGGAGTTTCTTGGAAACTCGACATGGACGAGGAAAAACAGCTGTGGCAGGCAATCACTGAAGAGGATTCTGACGCATGGTGGACAGTTGACCAAGATGACTGCAAGCAGGCAATCTTGTACATCGGCCACAAGACACTTGACGAGTTCCTAGGTAAGTGGAAATTAAATCTATTTTTTACAAGTAAGTTATTTTCCAAAACTTTTTTATGTAGTCGCACTGTCCACGGGGCCGGGGCATCTGTCAATCCCCCCAGGGACACCGGGTCATTGAAACCGTTGCAAGCTAAGTCCATGCAGATGTTTTGATGCCTGGAAAGAAAGCATCAAAATTATTGGCCAGGAAATAACCATTTGCCACTAAAAGAGAGTCGGATAAAAACACGCCAAAATAAGTCTAAACCTTAAAGTGCGCATTCAGTCAGGGGGCAGGGGTGATGACGTCACGTCGTGAATACTAAGTACGCTCCATAGTTTGTAGTAGCCTACTCTCCAAGCAGAGGTTGTGGGGAATGATCGTTACCTTTTTATATATGGCCGTTTTTTTTTTTTTTTGTCCTGATCCCCACCCGTCGGTGGCTAATGGAGCTTCTCTGGCTAATGGATACTGTCTGGCCAATGAATTTGATACTGTCTTTTTGCCACCGAGAGGGATCTGCTTGGAGATTAGTAGTAGCCTGGCCCCAAAATGTGGGGCCAATCAGAGAGCCGGCGGGTGGTCAGGGAAGTAGAGGTTTGTCAAAACCCTCAGAAGTCAAAACAACCCGCTCGAAAACATGCATGGGACCTCGTCGGGAGGGGACCTGGCTACGGGGCTGAAACCACGGGGCTAGATCCACGAAAATTTTCTTCTCGACGTGGTCAAGTCGGCAGGTATGAGTTGTTTTCCAGGGTTATTGTTATGTATGATTATCTCAAGCTCATACATACGGTATTTCTATGAAGTTCTGTTGTTGTACCATCATGGTTGTAATACAGTGTTAGGTTGATAGTAAGTCTAGTACGAGGATCTGAGTGCCGGGTCGTTTAGGTAGTAAACTTCACCTTATAATTTACATTAGCGTTGAAGGGTATCATACGCAGTTTTCGTTAATATTTCCCCAAGTCATCCATGCAGGTTTTGTGTTGCTGTTCTGTCTCATGTAGCCTGGATTCCATACCCAAAGCAGACTAGACTCAAAGTTAGTCGCACTTGTTTGCCGGAATCGCAGAAATGTCTTTATGTTGGTCTAAAATTTGTAGACTAATCTGTTTTTCATTTGATGTCGTGTTTTGGTGCCTTTTCTCTCATTTGATGCCCATAAGGCAGTGGAATGCATAAAGAATGCGCCCTACATAGCACACGGTGTAATCACTTCAATCAGTACCACATGGGTTTGGTTCTAACCGAAGTACTAGAAAACCCTGGCTTTGTCCTAGCCTGTGTGCCCATATCTCAGTGAGCAGACTAGTCTACAAGCAGAGAAAGATCTTTACCTTTTTACATATGGCCCGTTTTTCGTCGCTGCCCCCACCAAAAGAACTTTGTTGTCTGTGTAGTGTAAATTTGGAAGTCTCTATGTCAACTGCCCTGTTTTTTTCTGTCTCCCCTGGACGCGCCTAGGGACCACCGGTGGCAAGTTTGGTTTCTCTTGTCCGGTGTCTGTACTCGTAATTATATAGAGGAGGTGCTTTCTTATTAACCTCCTTGCTTCCTCGATATACAAATATTAGTAATAAGAAGGCTTTAATGCTCTTATCTCAGTGCTACCCTGTTCCCGTATTCTCCAGTACCCAGTAAAAAATTATTGTCTGCGCAGTTTTGAATAATTTGTCATCTCGCTATGAGTATGACGCCAGAAAGAAAACGTTGTTTGTAATCACACACCCTATTGGCGATTTCAAGCGCAATTTTCATGTTAACAACGTAAACAATCTCTTTACCAGCAGAAATAGAATTCGTCCATACATTTAGGCCTTGTTCACAACTAATCTTGAGGTCACAATTCCTACACGGGGCCCGGCCGGGCAGCTTTTGGGAATTTTAACGAAAACTACGATACAAAAGACAACACAGAAAAGTTCTGGGCTCTATTTCTGTATATTCGTGATATCAATACTAGTAGTTCATTTTTCGTTCGTACAGATAGCCCGGTCGGGCTCCGGTTTGGAAACAGGACATTTGCGGCCGCGGCCTACTCTCCAAGCAGAGGTTGTGGGGGAATGATCGTTACCTTATTAAATATGGCCGTTTTTTTTGTCGCTACCCCCCACCCGACGGTGGCCGCGGACCTTCTCTGGCTAAGGCATACTGCTGCCTGGCCAATTTGATACTGTCTTTTTGCCACCGAGAGGGATCTGCTTGGAGATCAGCCGCGTCCATCAGGGCGGATTGCTCTACTCTCCAAGCAGAGGTATGGTGTCATTTTTTGGCGTGTTTTTACTTTAGGCTTTTTTTTTTCACTGGAATTTTTTGTAACCCTAAAAAGAAACTCCGTTGCAAAAGCCAAAAAATGACCCAAAACGTCTGCTTGGAGAGTAGATTTTGCTCAAGTTTGCCAGCCTCGTCGGCGACATTTTCTACAAATGACAGCGCTTGCATCATATTTTCCGGCGGCGTCTGTTGTGTCCGCCCTCCCATATTGCCTCCGGCGGCGTTGTTTGTAGTCCGACCCACACAGGCCCCTCCCATTGCCTCCGGCGGCCAGGCGTATAATGTTACATTTGGGGTCATCCAAAGGCCCCATAATTCTGTTCGAAATCAAACACTGTGGAAGTGAAGAGAAAACAAAAGGATTTTGTTGTAAAGAGAAGCAACGTTTACATCCAATGCTATGGATTCGTGCAGACGGCACAATAGACTCGGAGGTCTGTGGGTTTAGGGATCGCACAAAGAGCGCTGCTGTACAAAGCAGTCTGTCCTTGCGTTGTACATGTAACATTTTTATATTCAATTGTTTTGACGGAAATTTGTCGCTCATGGCGAACAAAAATAATGGCCAAATCTCTCATCTTTGAAGCCCAATCGGCGTGTAATGGTATAGGAAGAGCTTAGAAGTTTGCATAGATCTCAAGAAAATCAGCGGAAGGCCGCGCCTGATGCGGGAGAGATGCAAGCGTTTGGGCGTGATAGAGCGTGGCAGTGCGGGGCGGTACGCACAAACTTGAAAGGCGGCCGTCGTGACATTTGGCGCTAGCTACATGGGCCACATGTAGTTGACAGTACGACCATATTATTATGTTGTTACTTAGCGGAAAACCTCTACACGCTGTCAGAATACGACCACACCTCATTTTGTAATTGTTGCATATTGTACTCGTGAACTGAGATCAAGTTAATCAGATGATTGGTAAACAGTGGGATAGTAACGCTACTCTCAAAGCGGCGAAGGGCGGCCTGAGCACCGGCGTGCCGGATCAAACACAGTATAGGTGATGTTTCAAGTGTTTTATCTGTTCGCCGTATTTGTTAAGTAATACATGTGTATCAATTTTAAATTTGTGAAGTGTTAAACTGTTACGTACCTTGCTTAGATGAACTGATGAAGTGTGTGGTTTTCATCGGTAGTTTCTCTCATCGGAGACGGTAGGAAATACAAGGAATGTTTGAACTTTGAAGGTGACGTATCTAAGTAAGACGCAAACTGGACCCGTGATGAAAATGTTTTATTTTTGCCGATTTTCATCACTGTTATTCTGTGTATTTATGCTTGTGTATATTTCTTCGGAGGACAAAGGACATTATACACTTGGTAGGACGTAGATTCCTACTAAACGTTTTGTTGTGCTAAACTCTTTCTGTGCCCATTTCGTATACAATAACAACATACATGTAGAAATTAATGAGGCTTGTGCGTTCGATCTCGACCGGAAATGCATATGACGTCCCACGCCTACCATTGAATGTGTAGTTTTACACGACAAGAGATGTCATTAAACTAAGCTTAGTTGACCAGCAAAATTGGCATTCAAAATGCAGGAAATAATGTTCAGAGGGTCAACTGTTACACATTTACCAGCCAATATGTGTATCTATCCCTTGATATCTTTGGGTCTTCAATCCCAGTTACTGGTATCATATATATCTGTGAGCAGGACACCTACTTGATAGTCAATAAGTTGGGAGTTTGTACAAACATTATCAATTATTAGTGTCACAGAGTTATTGGTTATCCTAAATATCCTTGTTTATTTTATATGATCTGCAGTGGGGGGATGGGAACTTTTCCAAGTACAAGTATGTAGCAACTAGAAAGGCTTGTTTCAATTGACAATATCCATGCTCTGTGTCAACTGTTCTGAAGAACATGAAAGTCGAAGTCATGAATAGAATATAATGATTAAAGTTTATTGCAAATATAAACATTCGGGAACGTTCGGTAGCCTTTCCGGTTATGATCGGAGAGTTTTCGCTCATGCTTCGGTAATCGTGACGCTACCGAGCGGTCCCGACGGCGGTAGCGGACATTCCCGACTATACACAAGATGGCCGCCCGGTTGTGCCGACCAGCTATTTTAGTAGTTCTCGGTCGCGCTGTGGAATATTTAGGCTGATCTGAGGAGGCTAAGAAAGAAACAGTTTTCAGATCCAGAAAGCTAGCAGAAATTTGTCTGATGAAGTTTGTCAGAAGAAATGAGCCGGTAGAGTTTGTGAGAAAATGTAACGGAGACTAAACTTGTTTCTCTGAAAATTTACACGAAAGTAGCCAGCGCAAGAATTTGAGTAGGCGGCGATTTTCGCCGGTAGACGGCCTGTTTTGAGAAGGCTGATAACAGCCTTCTTTCATAATATATTGATTTTTTTAGTTTGGCCACTTTTTTTCTGATTTGCTTGGTTTTTACAGACATCCGCTCTTAATACTCTGTCAGTTGTAGTAAAGGTTAACATTGATATCATTTGGCGAACCTATTATTTTGTGTAACTCTAGTTTATAGTAAGGCTGAAGGGGGCGTGTGTGATTAGCAGGGTTGGAGTAGAAAAATTTGGGTATCTTTAGGGACTGTCCTACCTAAAAGAAGGGCATCTAATTTGTTATTTTCAGTACAGGGAGCCCAAAAGACACCCTGACACCACCTAGCTACAAGCCTGTTGTACCTGGATTGCCATAGCGCTATCTGTATCAGTGTCACAAATTCAAAACCACTGCAAACTCTCCAAGTCATCTTGTTACTGCTGATTGAAATCAGCACCAACTTTAGTTCATTTACATTGTGTAGTTATTGATAGTAAGGTGTTGATCTCTAAAAATGACAGTCTTGCATTTACTTCTTAGGTAATCCGGAAAAGTCTGTTGTGACCACCTTTGAACGACCAACTACAACTGAAGTCAAGTTCAGCCATGTGAAGGTAAGATGATTCATTGATTAAGCAGTTCTATGTCATTGCATTATGGAAAATCTAAGGAATGATTGAGGGGGAAACATTGAGGCCTTTAACATGCATTCAGTAGTTGTCATGTTAATTTATGCCAACTTCTTGGGCATTTACAAAATAAGCTTAATGAACATTAAAAAGTATAGGGCTTATTCACCACAGATGGTCACGTGACTCTTCCCCCCGGCAGCGAGCATTGTCCGCCATTAGGGGGTGCAGCATGGTGCCTATCGCTATGGTACGCTATGCAAACTCTTGGCGATAGTTGCGCATTTTGGGCCACAATCTACGTTTTGAACACTCTTCTTGTTAGTAACATTGTCCTTGGGGTTGTTCTGGCTCCATGTCCACGTCTCATGTTCTCAAGATCGGCTTTTATCTTTTTTGCTGATCAGAAAATCGGTGTGTTTTACCCTGGCGTAGGGGCCTGTAGATCGCCCCCTGTAGATGTCAACGTGGATAGCCATGGACACGTTAAATCTGTTGAAGCTACCTGTCCCTTTACTCTGTGGTAAATGTTGTTCTGGCTCCATGTCCACGTCTCATGTTCTCAAGATCGGCTTTTATCTTTTTTTGCTGATCAGAAAATCGGTGTGTTTTACCCTGGCGTAGGGGCCTGTAGATCGCCCCCTGTAGATGTCAACGTGGATAGCCATGGACACGTTAAATCTGTTGAAGCTACCTGTCCCTTTACTCTGTGGTAAATGTCCATGTAGAACAGGGCACTGGCAACTTGTAACACTCACCTTGTCCAGCCACAATCGCGGCAGTGCGGACTGAGGATTGCGGCCGGCGGCCGATGGCCCCGCATTTGTTTGTTATTATCCAGACACAGTCCGGGGCTGTTCCAAAATAGCGACCTTTTGCGTATCCCGACTACAACGTACTTGTCACCACGCAACTGCATGTCCCACAACACTCTCTACACATCCTGATACAACGCTTCCAGACTCTTAGAGGGTTTGAACCGATGTTGTGTGTAAAAACTTCGGCCCAGTACCAAATACGAAGCTAAGTCGCGTCAATGGACTCCGCTGGCGGTAGACGCCGTCTCGATCAGACTGATCAAAACTCAACAAAAACGGGTCAATCCCAACAGATTTTATTTTGTTCCAGTAACGAGAGGTATGAGTGGTGGTAAACTCTTCGTGTAATAGGACAAAGGACAGTTTACCTAACGTTTGTCGGCCATTTCAATGCTTGGAAACTCGCTGTAGGCGCTGTAGCCCCAAAATGGCGTCGCACGGGACATGAGGGGTCGTGACGTCATGATGACGTGTGGTGAATAAGCTCTATAGCTGTTGGGGATGTATATTGATTATGTATATTAATATTATTATGATTTCTTTAAACATAAATACGTTACCGCTCCCAACCAAAAATGAGATAATACAAAAAACCAAGTCATTCCCCCTGCCAGACAGGTTTGTCTGGGGGCTAGGCTCGAAAGAAAAATTAACAGAAGCCTTAACTAGGCTTAAGAAGCCCAATAATCTTACAAAACTACACAACTTCTTATCTCTAAAACTAAATGACACTCCATCACATCAGCACATAGATGAAGAAATTTATGTATTCCATGAAATATTAGAAATGGCAGGGAAAAGATCATTACAAGTTAACAGGTATAAGAAACGAAAAGGATTGAAAAAGAATAAGAGTTGGTTTGACAAAACATGCTATGAGGCTAGAAATAAACTTAAAAACTTAAGATATTTACTCATTCAACCCAAAGAATCCATCCTTAAGAGGCAGTTATTTTAAGAAAGGAATTCAATAAACTTATTAGAAAACGAGAACACGAAAACAACTGTTTAATTCGACTTCAAAATCTACAAGAAAATAGTAGTGGTGAGGACATGATCATTAATGAAATGCTAAAAGCTGGGAAACAAATTCTATTGGCTCCCTTAGTTAAACTATTTAATCTAACTCTAACAAGAGGAGAATTTCCTAAGAAATGGTCCAAAAGTCATATAGTTCCGAAAAAAAGACAATGCCAACAATTATAGGGGAATCGCCATTTCAAGCTGCCTGGGGAAACTTTTCACCTCAGAGCTTAATAAAAGACTAATGGCATTCCTAGAAAACAGGGAAATCATAAAACCAAACCAGACTGGCTTTCGCAAGAATTTTCGAACATCCAACAATATTTATATTTCAGTCCATACTGCATGCTAAGCCCCTGCTTATTTAACATGTATATAAGTGATGCCATAAATCATCTAAACACAGAATATTTAGATGCTCCCGTGTTGAATACTTAAAAAGTGACGAGCTTATTTTATGCAGATGACATAGTGCTATTGTCAGAAAGTCAACAGGGATTACAACAAGCGATTGATATACTTGGGCAATACTGTCAAAAATGGAAATTATCTATCAACCTTACAAAAACTAAGATTGTAATATTCAACAAAAAGGTCATGTATTTTCAAACCTAAAATTTCAGCTTTTGGGAAACACTATAGTATAGATATAGTACCATCATATTCTTATCTTGGGGTTGTATTTACAGCGGGATGTAGCTTTAACCCCGCCATGAAAGTATTACAAAAAATGCCTTGAGATTGACTAATCTCAATGCATATTTAAATAGAGAGGAAATATCCCTTGCAGCTTTGTCTTTTATCGTTCCTTTCTGTGCAGAAAAAAAAACAGGGTTGTTGAGAATCTAGAATCTAATTGGGTTCTAGGTTTGAGTCCCTAATGTCGTGCCTTTAACTACACTTGGTGATACTAAATCTTCAATTCCTATATACTGTAAACTATTTGATTCATGTATTACCCCAATATTGTTGTACGGTGCGGATGTCTGGTGTGATAGTAATTTGAATGACAGCTCCCCCATAGAACTTGTACACTTAAAATTTTGTAAATTCATTCTGGGAGTGAAAAGAAATGCTATTAACCTTGCCAGCAGAGCAGAGCTCGGCCATTTTCCCTTATGGATAGAAGCATATTGCAGACTATATAATTATTACTCAGGGATCTCCCCAGAAATTTAGGACAGAATGGAGGAGGGTGCGAAATATCGGTAAATTTGACCAAAGAACCCTGGAAAAGGGTGTAAAAACACTAGTTTTGAAAATTAACAGGGTGGAGCTGAGATAAGGACTGGGTGGAGGAGCTCCACTGCTCCATTGTTTAGGGAGGTCCCTGATTACTGTAGATTAGTTAGCAATGTAGATATAGATAGTTTGCAATATGAAGCTTTTATGGTCCAAAAAGATTTAGATCGACAGCATGTACCCTGCTGGCTGTCTAATGTAAGGAAAATGTTAGAGGAGTCGGGTTACGCCTTTCTATTCACAAACAGCAGTCTGCTTATTCACTTGATTTTAAGAAAAGACAACAAGATATTTTCATACAGAAATTCTACTCTGAATTACAATCAAACAGCCGAGGAAACAACCAAGGCAACAAATTAAGAACATACAAATTGTTTAAAGTTACATCCCCAGCATCGCCGAACCATGTCAAAACTACGAATTAGTGACCATAATTTATACATAGAAACTGGCAGACATAACCGGACTCCTGTAGAAGATGGACTCTGTAAGGTTTCTAACTCTGGTAGCGTAGAAGATGAAATACATTTTGTTCTTGATTGTAAATTGTATGATAACGAACGTGACACACTATTTAGAACAATCCACTTAGACAAGCTGTATAAAAGTAGAACAAAGAACGAGATATTCAGTCATCTCATGTCCACCAATAACGACAATATAATAGAAAAACTATGTGAATTTATCTCCTATTGCTTTCAAAAGAGAGAAGAAATCCTCAAGGCCTAGATTAGTTTATTCTCTAGTAGTTGTTAAGACTTTTACATTATTGTGTTATCCTTGTACCCTATGTATCATGTTACCCAGTTTGATGTACATGTAAGATCACATTCTGATATATGCATTTAGCCCCATGGGCATGAACATGCAATTAAAGATTCTTCAATTAAAAGAGGTACATTCTTCTCTCTGAAGGTGCGGTTTGCAGAGGCTGCCAGGAAACCAGCTCTCCTGCCTCTACAACACTTCCGGCCGACCTACTCTTTCCTGGGAAGAGATCATCTATGTGAGTGCATCACAGCGGATCAGTTTGTGGAGGCATGGAGCAAACTGATTTATTTGTTCCCGGAAGGAAAGGAAAGGGATGAAAGCAGCAAGGAGGGTGAAAGTTTTGAAAATGAGGATTCTGAAAATGACAACGATGACCTTCCCAACAGTCCTAACAGCCCGGATGACACCAACAAAAGTGTTCAAGATAATCCCAGCAGCCCGGATGCTCCCAACAGCCCGGATGAAACCAACACAAGTGTTCAAGATAATCCCAGCAGCCCGGATGCTCCCAACAGCCCGGATGAAACCAACAAAAGTGTTCAAGATAATCCCAGCAGCCCGGATGCTCCCAACAGCCCGGATGAAACCAACAAAAGTGTTCAAGATAATCCCAGCAGCCCGGATGCTCCCAACAGCCCGGATGAAACCAACAAAAGTGTTCAAGATAATCCCAGCAGCCCGGATGCTCCCAACAGCCCGGATGAAACCAACACAAGTGTTCAAGATAATCCCAGCAGCCCGGATGCTCCCAACAGCCCGGATGAAACCAACAAAAGTGTTCAAGATGTTCCCAGCAGCCCAGATGACACCACCAAAAGTGTTCAAAATGCTCCCAACAGCCCGGATGACACCACCAAAAGTGTTCAAGATGTTCCCAACAGCCCGGATGACACCACCAAAAGTGTTCAAGATGCTCCCAACAGCGCGGATGACACCACCAAAAGTCAGGAAAAGAAAGAACAGAACGAACAGTTGTTGGCTGTAGCAGATTCATGTGTTGGAACTTTCACTCTCGACATTGAACAGCTAGAGCACCCACAAAAGTCCAGGCAGGTCAGAGTACTGAATGAGAGGCATGTTGAAACATTAAAAAAAAGCTTTCTGGCCTCCGGAAAGATGACCTTCCAATCAGCTGGGTCCTTAGTCGGGATCATCAGGAAGGAGGACTGTCCTTCTGTCGAAGACTTTGACAAAAATAAATTGTCGACCTATAGAATAGAAGTTATTGACGGCAACCATAGACTGGAAGCGCAACGAAGAGCACTTGAGTCCACAACGAGTCCAGAGCAAAGGAAGACTTTCTGCAAGAGAAGGGTCACCCTGTATGCAGGCCTGCAGAACCACATGTGCCTGGCTGCGGGGCTGTACTACAACGATACAGTGGGAAAGCAGCATATGTCCATGAGTGACATGGACATGACAGAACTGTTCAGGAAAGTCCTCGTGGATGATTTCCTCAAAATATCAGAGGAAAAACTGGCAGAAAACGAGGACTTGGTTGGGCCGAAGGACTTCTTCAGCCATGTGCGGGACAAAATCCTTCAGTTACAAGCACAGCACAAGAAGGAAGACCTGGTAAGTTTATTTTTTTTCTCTCTACTTCACACAATGAAACCAGCATGTTTGCCTGTACTGATTGACAATGTTTTTTTAAAATGTAAATTGTGCCATGTGCCACCCCACCAACATGTATTCACCACAGAACTGCAGATGCTCATTGCATTTGGTATTAAAACATCTCAACGTGGAAACCATTTATGTCTCACTCTCAGTCATGTTGTGAGTCGACCCTGTTCAATCAGACCACCTGTCCAAGGTGAATGCTATTCTTCGCTTCGGAAGTTCACCTTGGACAGGTTTGACTGTATCTTGATGTATGGACTGTTTGGCAGTGTTATAAATATGCCTGCATGATAACTGTTACAGACAGAGCTACATGTACACTGGGCTTGAAATTCATTTTTGGGAATAGGGTGCTCAAAAAAATTGTTTGGGGTGCACCATGCAAGATAAAATACCAGTAAAATACTGTAGATGTTGTCAGAAAAAAACTGATTGTTTCATTTTTAAAGAAAAGTACTATTACTGTTGCACAAACAAAAGAAATTGGGTGCACAGCTACCAATTTGGTTGAATGTAAGGTGCAGATGCATTTAGTATTTCGAGCCCTGTGTAGAAGTCAGCAGAACAACAGAGCTGCACAGTTACTGTGCAGTATAATGATTATGATTATGATAATGATTAATGCTGGCTTAATTTACCGGCATATGCCAACTTCACATTCCAGTTTGCCCCTTTGAGCAACAATGTACATGTGCATGTAATGTTTTAAGTTAAGACTTTTGATCCAACACAAAAATTCTCTCACCTAGAGCTTTCGACCAGTCACTCTGGTCTTCCTCAGTAGACTGACCCAGTGAAGCTTGTCACGTGACTTCTTTGAAGTGTGACGTCAACACTGGGTCAAAGGTATCTGTTAGATGATGTCGGCCCCCGTCGCGGTTCAATGTAGGGTGGTGGGCCCTGATGTAAATGGCTTCCTTCACCCCTCTCAAGAAATAGTCTTGTTCAGTGTCTAAAATCCTTACAGTGTCAAGTGAAACATAGTGTCCGGGTGACTCTATGTGAATGTGTTGAGACACCTCCGAACTGGCAGAGCTAGGCCGTGTATGTTCTTGAAACCTGGCTTTTAGAGACCTCTCTGTTTCCCCAATGTAAGTTTCCTGGCAGGGCCCCCTGTTGTTTTTGCCCTGGCAGGGGATGTGGTAGATGACACCACACTTCTTCTCTTTAGGGGTTTTATCCTTGGCCGCAACAAGAATGTGTCTTAAAGTAGTGGTTTGTTTGAAACAAGTTGCCATCCCGTGGGAAATGAAAATCCTCGGAGGCTCCTGAGAGCTTCAGACAAGTCCTTGATGTATGGCAGGACTACCAACCCATTGGACTTTGTTCCTGCTGAGGGTTTGGTGTTGGGTGGTTTGGGGCAGGTCTCTTTGTTGATGGCCCACTGGGGGTAGCCACAAGTTTTTAATGCTCGGGTCAGGTGGGACTTCTCGGTCTCTAAATCCTGTGGATCTGACACTATGGTGTTGGCTCTGTGAAATAGAGTCCTAATCACCCCTAGTTTGTGGTCAAGTGGATGGTTAGAGTCAAAGTTTAGGTATTGATCCGTATGTGTGGGTTTCCGGTAAATCCTAAGTGACCCATCCTCCTGTATCACTGTAAGAGTGTCAAGAAAGGGTAAAGATCTGTTCTGTTCCTCCTCCGTAGTAAACTTAATATCTGGGTCTAAACTGTTCAGAAAGTCTGTAAATTCCTGTGCATGTACTTTCTTCAACTTCGTGTGAGTGTCATCAACATAACGATACCACCAAAGTGGGGGGTGGGGGGCAGTGTTAATAGCCAACTGTTCTAGATGTTCCATGTAAAGGTTACAGACAATGGGAGAGACTGGAGAACCCACTGCTGCACCATGAATTTGCTGATAAAACACTTCATTGTGTACAAAGTACGTGCACTTCAAACAGATCTTTAAGAGGCTTACAACATGTTGGGGAGTAAGAGTTGTACGTTGTGCTAGTGTGGTGTCGTTCTGGAGTCTACTTGCTATAACATCCAAAGTCTTATCAATAGGAACTGAGGTAAACAGGGCTGTAACATCAAAGGATCTGAGTTCCTCGTCCTCTTCTACACGTTGGTCTTTTATGAGCTCCGTAAAATGTTGGGAGTTCACAATATGATGGAGGGACTTGCCAACCAAAGGAGAAAGTATGTCAGCCAAGACTTTTGCACCTTGTGTTGGATCAAAAGTCTTAACTTTAAACATGTGACTACCAACACAGATGAACTTTCATGATAATGTGCATGTAATGTTACACCACATTCATGGCTCTTGCCTAATCTGTAATTTTTTTCCAGAAAAAGAAGTTCGATACATTCAGACTGCGTCTGAGGCTTGCCCAGCTCAGCCCCCGATGCTACAAGCTGGCCATGCTGTTCTTCAAAGCTGAGAAGGCTCGGGGGCAGGACCTCAAAGCATCCAATTTCAAGTGGATTCAAGGGCTGTCGGAGAAGGACATCTACAGGTTGCTGTGTAAGGCAACTGCAGAACATCCAGTCACTCGAAAACACCTTAAGGAGGCAGCTGAAGAAGCTGAGGGTCAGAAAGGGATGGTGAGACTAGCTTATGTTATTTGTAGTTATACATGTGCTGTAGCAAACTTTGGACTACACAAATATTAAGTTTGTTCATGCCAAGTTAAATGCTAGTATGACATTCAGGTTTGGACATACTATTGGCTTACCTACTTTTTCAATTTAGCTGGACACAGCAACATGTTAAATCGATTAATATTGTGAATTTACATGATAACATACATTCAAATGAATCGTTCTGTTTAGACCTCAACAATAGCTTTGTTTCAAGCTACCTGCAGTTAAGGCAGATTAATTCAAATTATTAATAAATGTTACATATTGTTCAATAAACAGGACATGTGTCAGATGACACTTACTGGCAACTGCATTGAGCTAAAACAAGGAAGCAGAAAAATGATGTACAAGTGTATGGAGGTGACAAGTGGGGGAAAGACCAGAATCTTCACAGCAGAACAACTACAGTCATGCTTATCAGGTAATGTCAACACAGTGATATTATATTGATGTGTACACTAAATAGTGCTGTAAGTGTATTGCTTGTAGTTTTGTTGACACTTGAATGCTGTTTGTATCCAAAGTCTAAGGCTGTAAGGTTTGACCCACTTACATGTACACTGGAAATTAGAGACCCTTACTTGTTATAATTTTAAAAGTGTGATGGGTTATTAGAATGTGCCCGATTCAATCTGAATGGACATCTCTAACTAAAGCAAAGTCTTTTTTTCTCGAATAAAAGTAAGTAATAGGCTTTAAGTGCCTTTACCAAGGGCATAAACATAGCAGACCGCCGTGTCTTAGTGTCTTAAATTGTCAGATTCAACAACCGTGACTACGAGACTACCTTGCCACTTATGTGACTTGATGTTAACTACTAGTATTCACAAATGTTGCCTTAAATTTATCATTTACAATTTTGCAACAGGTACATGTAAACCTTCCACCTCATCCACAGCAAAAAGGAGGACGACATCTGCCACTCAAGGGACCGGGTTGTCCCCAGCAAAAAAGAGGCGGACAACTGCCACTCCAGGAACAGCGTCGTCTTCAGCAAAAAGGACATCTGCCAGTGCCACTCCAGGAACAGCGTCGTCTTCAGCAAAAAGGAAATCTGCCAGTGCCACTCCAGAAACAGCGTCGTCTTCAGCAAAAAGGACATCTGCCAGTGCCACTCCAGGAACAGCGTCGTCTTCAGCAAAAAGGACATCTGCCAGTGCCACTCCAGGAAAAGCGTCGTCCCCAGCAAAAAGGAAATCTGCCAGTGCCACTCCAGGAACAGCGTCGTCCCCAGCCAAAGGTGAGCTAGGGTTCATTGCACTATTATAGACAAGATGATTTGTAATGAGTAATGTTTTGACTGTGTTGAATAATTTGTTCACTTCCCTATTGCAAAAGGGATTATGTACTGTTTTATCTGGTTTATTACGTAATAAAAAGGCAATTTTTGATGCTGTAGTTTTATTGGTTTGTTAAAGGGGGGACTGCACAACCGAAAAAGCTTTGGATAGATCATTCATTTTGATTTATAAGGAGAGAGTGATGAAGACTGTAAAATCCTTTTTAATTAGCTAAGCTTGCAAGTAGGGCATTTTAGTGCAATATTATTTTCTTGGTACATTTACATTTCTGTTTGTTTCACACACAGAAAGGAAGAATCAAAGCGGGAAGATGACTGGTGTAGAAAAACAGTACCAGGCAGCAAGTGTAGCACTCCAGCAGGCAGCCATCGACCACAGTGAGCCCTACTTCGAGGATGTTAGGCTGGACATACCAAGCCTGAAAGTAGGGGACATTGTGGTTGTCGACCCGGGGAAAAAGCAGTACGTCGCCGAGGAGCCGTGGTTAGTTGTGGTAATGGAAGTTAAACGGGCAAATGCCACAGTAAAGTTCCTATCAGGTGGATTTGGGAAAGCGTGGGATGTAAGCCCATATGATACAACAGTGTGCAGTATAAAGAAGGTGGTAGCAAAGGTTTGGTTTCATATGTTCCCTCTTGGAACGAAAAAAATGCCGGAGGACATAGAGAAGAAAGTGAAAGACCTCCATGGGTTACTGGCACAGAAGTAAAATCATGTCTTCCCAAACCAACTTTGTGATCACTGTTGTAAGTACATGTACATGTATACTCTTTCGGTGTCTATGTTTATGCACTCAACAAGCCACCTTGTCAGAAATGCTGTTCGAAACTCTTGAAATAGAAAAATGCAGTCAAACTCAAACCTTTGAATGATACTTAAATAGACGTAGGAATAACAAGTGAACAATTAAGTCTTAACTTGTCTGATACAAATGTATACTGTATGTTTTAAAGCCATTAAATCTTGAAGTGGCAGACATTTGTCAGTCAAATGGATGTATGTATCATGTTAAGCATTGTGGAAAGTGACAATTGTGTTAAACTGCACCCATTTCTCATATTGTGTAAGCGTAAGAGTTTGATGAGATTTAAGACTACTTGGATTTTTATCTAAAATTGTTGTTAATGCTCATGCATATGTTTCAGGCAGAACTTTTAATTTCATTTGTATTGTAGTCATTTTGTCATGAAGTGACTTTACTTTGCTTGGATTTGTGACTGGAAAATACCCAGGCATGCCTTCCCACACAACACCATTTTTTCCATTTATCTACTGTTAAGTTTTACATTAAAAGACACCTTGACTTGAAAGTATTATTTCTTGGTCATGCTGTGAGTTGCATTTCTAAAAGAAGACTACTAGTGTGTTGCTGGAATTCCAGCCAGGGAAACAGTGTTGGTTAGGGCCACTGGATTTCCAGCCAGAGAAGCAGTGTTGGGCAGGGCCGCTGGAATTCCAGCCAGGGAAGCAGTGTTGGGCAGGGCCGCTGGAATTCCAGCCAGGGAAGCAGTGTTGGGCAGTGCCGCTGGAATTCCAGCCAGGAAAGCAGTGTTGGGCAGGGCCGCTGGAATTCCAGCCAGGAAAGCAGTGTGGGCAGGGCTGCCCGAGTTCCAGCCAGGGCAGCGCTGCTGGAATTCCAGCCAGTGTTTCGCAGCGCCAGTGTTTCGCAGCGCCGCTGGAATTCCAGCCAGTGTTTTGCAGCGCCGCTGGAATTCCAGCCAAGGAATGCCAGTCAGTGAAATGGCTATGTACAAGTACAAATAAAGGGTAAAGACTACAAAACCCTGTATTATAGTGGGAGATAGGACAGATATACCCTACGCTAGGTACTGATCCACAAAAAGTGTCATCTTGAGACTAAAATACAGTCTCAAGTTGCATCAGAATCCGTTCAAGATGGTTAATTCTACCGCTGAATGCTACAATTGTTCTTTAAGCCTCATGATTAAGAAAATTATCATTCATGATCATTAACGAAGCAAATTATTTAACAACATCAGTAAGAATCAGTGACGACTTCTCCGTGGAGGTTATTGGGAAAACCTCTGCATTCACTTGTAGGCAACATGGTTAATTCTGCTGCTGAATGCTACAATTATTGTTCTTTAAACTGCACAATGAAGAAAGTTATCATTCGTTATCATTATCAACTTGTTTAGCAAATTATTGTTGGTAACAGAAAATCTGTGAGCTAGAGTATGTGATGACTTCTCAGTGGAGGTTATTGGGAAAACCTCTGCATTCACTTGTAGGCAACAAGATGGTTAATTCTACCGCTGAATGCTACAATTGTTCTTTAAACCTTACAATGAAGAAAATTATAATTCGTTAAGTCTAGAAAGGCCAAACAAATTAAAGCAAATTATTGTTGGTAACAGAAAATCAGTTAGAATAAGTGGCCTTGATTATGTTTACCAAAGGAAACATATAGTTTTTGCTCAGTTTCTTCTTCCTCCTCCTCCTCTTCTTCTCCAAACAAATAAGGTCAATGACCTAAACCAGATGTCTGTTACCATGGTAACTAGTGTTAGGTTACATCATGTTGCAATTTTATAGCAGGAGGAACTCCTGTCTGACAATACATGCTGGTATATATGAATATGCTTGAGTAAGAATTAACAGAGCAGATCATATGCGAAGGTAAATATTATGCATTTACTTTGCAAATGTTACCTTTCTAGTTTCTCTGGTACATTACCATGCACGTCACACTTCCCATCACCCAAGACTCAATCCCCAGCTCCAGACATTAGCTACAGGCTTAGTGATGAGCCTTTCTGTTTCACCTCCTGGAAATTGATCGAAGTCAATCAAGGGATAATTGTGGGAAGGAAGGGGAGAAAAATGTAGTAGGTGTCGGCTGCATGCAAAACGGACAACCTGAAAGTGACATGGTTGCTTAAACAAGGTCATAGGTGGAAAATGGTATCAATCTAAATCTGTCAGTTTAAACTTTTTCCCAGTCTGATATAAAAAAAGATACAAGGTTTTATACCATAATTATTTTGTACAAGTAATGAATATAAGTTTCTTCCACACAAGCCATACAGTTATACACTGAGCTATCTTTAAATTCTTTAAATTTCTAATCTTCCAATAGCAAAAATGAAACAGAATCAAACTTATGAGCAATTCCATAAAATTCAATAGAAATCTACCAAGAGTTTTCCAAAGAATTATGCAATCTTATTGAAATATAACGAAGTCATAATTCATTGTGTAATGTGTATATATGACAGCAATTTCATTGTAATGCATCTTTAGCTCCCTGTAGACAATAGATAATAATAATGCTTCAAGATTACAATGTATATCAGACTATATATCATAACGTATCATTAACTAGTCATACAGGAACAGTCTAATATATGTACAAAAATGTAATTAGCTTGATAAGATGGAAGGTTTCATTTTGCATCCAAGAAACAAGGAGTTAGAGACTCAAATATGCATTTGATAAGATGTATTTGACTTAATAGGAAAAGTTGTGTGGCAATAGCCTGGGTGCCATTCTGGTTTTAAAGTAAAAAGTTTGCATCCACCTCCAATTGAACAATTCATATGACCAAAGATATTAGGTCAAAGATATTTGGTCATATGAATTGTTAGGTTAGATAGAAGATGGAACATTTGTAGTTGTATTGTAGTTTCTACAACCATCATGTATTTACCTGTTAACTTCTTTCTCCAACTGTTTGACAGTAGAAAAGTAATAACTATGAATGTTGTACAAACGATTACTAGCAGTAGTATCCATGTTTTGATTATACTGCTGTGGGGTCTGTGACACAGAGGTATGCATTAGCTGGCAAGTCAACGCACTGAATGCTTTTAAAGTTGCACATAAGTCACGATCATGAACTTTTAGGTTTCAAGTAAACCAGCTTTGAAAGCGGGTAGGAAAGATGGACTGCTGTTGCCATGGCAACTGATTGGAGTTTCATTTCCAACCTTTGTCCGAGTAATTTGTTTCCCGTTTTTTCCCCCCGCTATATTTGGTACGAACCATTTGCAGCTTTTTGCTCAACGGTCCATCAAATTGAGATGCCTGCACTGTAGTGGGCTTACGGCTCAGCAACCCATGACCTACATATATGTAGCACCGCATTTTCCTTTGCAGATTCGGTGTAACTATGACATTAGGATGTGCAGATTTAGTAGAATTGAGACAGAACAGTCCTGCTATTGAGGATACGAGATGCCATCTAGTGATCCGAACTGCTTGCATAAGGCTAGACCACATGTTTTCTTGCAAGTTTTTCCAGAAAAAAAGGAGCAAGAGGGAGAAAACAGGAGGAGGGAATGATATGCACTAAGAGAGTTGTAATTAGGTGTTTGATTTTGAATTTTCACATTTTTTGCTCTCAAAAAAAGTGACATGAAATTAAAATTCAGCAAAATAAGATGGGTTTTGAGGATTTTTGCAGAAAATCATCTTTTGTGAGGGGCAATTATGATGACAGTTTTCAAGCTGCTACAACCAAAAAATGAGCTTTTTTCTTTATAAATCACTGATACATCTTCGAGGCAGTAAGATACAAAACTACATGTAATGACAAAAGTATGGCTTGACCATTCAATTTTTCTAACTGACACATGTTCTGAGTGATTCCCAAAAAGTCATCTGATCCTTGAGTACCTGAGGCGAAATTTGCTAATCCTGGATGTAAATTACATGCAATACATCAACAGACCCTTCATTTCTTCACTGTATACAAAACAAAACAGTGTTTCCCAAACAAAGAGATTACAGGTCCTGCACTTATTCAACAGGATATGACTTATGGACTATACAGTAAATCAACAGTGCAGAAAAGTGTTTTCACATAACATGGAATGATGGTCCAGGAGAGATGGGCAAATTGCTGCTTACCCGGATGTTGCTGTCATGATTTAAGAGCACTAGCCTCTCTTGCAGGCCCCAGGGCGAGTTTTAATATTGCTAATTTTGGTACTGTTTTGAGGGAGCCTGTGTGGCCTTTTTCTGTAAGGCATAGGCAAGCCATTTTATTTCAATTTCTATAATTGAATTTTACACTTTTCATTTCTGTATACTTTGATTCTAGAAGATGTTGTTATTTCACTAAAACCAAATGCACTAAAACCAAAAACAGTAAAACATAGCTGTTGCAAAGAAAATTGAAAGCCTTTAATTTATTTATCTTTCATTTTTTCCTGTGTTTGCCTGTCCTTGGTGCTGACTGTGTTTCCCTGTCCCTGGTGCTGACTGTGTTTCCCTGTCCCTGTCCCTGACTGTGTTTCCCTGTCCCTGGTGCTGACTGTGTTTCCCTGTCCCTGGTGCTGACTGTGTTTCCCTGTCCCTGGTGCTGACTGTGTTTCCCTGTCCGTGGTGCTGTGTTTCCCTGTCCCTAGTGCTGACTGTGTTTCCCTGTCCCTGGTGCTGACTGTGTTTCCCTGTCCCTGGTGCTGACTGTATTTCCCTGTCCTTGGTACTGACTATAAAATATATCAAGTGCCATGAATTGTGACATATTGCTAGCCACTAGACCATAACAACACTGCAGTTATAGGCACAAGTTAGGTTAGAGACATACATTTAATATACATGAAAACTGGCAGTATAGGAGTGTGACAGTTGGTATTTCATACTCAAAGCCTGTGAAATGAGATTAACTGTTGTGTGGAATTTTAATTACCTGGGTATACTGGTAATAACATCTCTTTCATCTACCGCTAGACTTGAGAAATTAATGTTTTACTTCTGTAAAAATGGTCTTTCGTCAGTTTTTGATCCATTTCTTTTGAATTTTTACACTTCATAACTACAAAAAAGGGAAACCAAGCATGAGAGTGGGACCTCATTTCTTTCTAAAGACCTGAAAGCCTTTTCAACTAGAATAATGCCATTTTTTCTCAAAAATTTGTTGTGTTTGGTCATCTTTACAGTTGTACATCTAAAAAAAACTATTTGCTAGCTGAGGAATGATTCTTCTGTATTTATAGTACACGTCATGAATTGAATGTTTGGAAATTTCCAGTAGAACAACAAAGTTTATAATATTCATCTCAAACAAGATACATGTAGCTCATTTGCCAAACCTCCATAGAACATCATTACAAAAAACAGACATGACAATTTCTGAAGTAGCTACGGGGAAAATAATATGTCTTCAGCTTATCATAGTCGACAAAACCAAAATAATGAGGCAATCAAAAGAGTTTTCTGTCAAACCAGGGATTGGAAACAATCCGTCCACTCTGTCATTCTTTCCTCAAGACGGTTTCTAACAATTTTCAACGGTAGTACGTAATCTTAATACATGTAGTAGTTTGGACGTAATGAGCCATA